AGAGGAGAGTGGAGAAGGGATTGCAGTGTAGCCATCTCCCCTGTGGAGCAATTTCTCACTTTCTATCTCTCTCTGTATCCCCACAGAATGGAGAAATGGATTGTAGTATGACTAGGCTGCACTGGGGGTCCAGGGGTTGCTTTCTCTGTCTCTGGTCTTTCTGCTGCAAGTGCATGTATCTTATGGCAACTGAAAGAAAAGGAAGAAAAGAAAGAAGGGAGGGAGGGAGGGAAGAAGGAAGAAGGAAGAAGGAGAGAAAGGAAGAAGAAAGGAAAAAAGGAAAGAAAAGAAGACCCAGAGACAAGCAAGTGCAAGGCGGGCTGGTTGGAAAGTGCAGAGAGGTAATCCAGAGACAGGAAGGGGGCGATAGAAGGTGTCCTACGCCAACTGCCAAAGAGAGCTATTGGAGAGAAATTCCACTGCGCGTGCTGAAAAATACAGGCCTTATCATTATTACTCCAGGGGTTGGTCTGTAGTATGGCAGTTAAGTGCTGTGTATAGAAAGCTGGACCCTAAGTGGCCGACCGTGGTTCAAATACCAGCTTAGGAGGCTTGAACAAGCTGGGTTCACTTAAGCCCTAAATCCCTAGAGAGAAATGAAAGAAGATGGACTGCAAAATGGAGGGTGATTTCTCTCTTCCTCTGGTACTTCCTCCCTCTTCCTTCCTTCTCTCTTGGATGAGCCCACATGCCCTATAGCAATAAAAACAAATGTACAAAAAAAGAGTTCACTACCGATTCCCTAACGTCAGCAATTTACTTTCAGTAAACGTTGTTTCCCTGGCACATCTGGATTGCCACACAGGTGACAAACAGAACACTGGAACAGATTAAAGAGCCCAGAAATAAACCCATACAAATATATAGCCAAGCGGTCTTTGACAAAGGACAAAGGCAATACAGCAGTGAGAAGATAGTCTTTCCAACAGAAGTTACTGGAACAACTGGACATCCACATTTAAAAAAAAAAAGATTCTAGAATCAGTCGTTATAGCCTTCACAAAAAAAGTTAATTCATAACGGACCATAGACCTCAATATGAAATGCAAAATTATAAAATTTGTAGAGTGGGACCAGCAGATGGTGTAACAGTTATGTCACTGAACTCCCATGGAGTGGACTGTGCTTTGAGTCCTGGCCCTGGAGACTTAAAACACACGCTGGGCACGTGTGTGTGTGCGTGCATGCCCAAAGTCCCAAGAGGAGAATAGAAGGGATAGGGGCATAGCCATCCCCCCTGGGGTGGTGGCTTCTTGTTTTCTGTCTCTCCTCAGAGTCCACACACCCTATAGCAAAAGTCTCAATAACCACAACAAAAATTCTAAAAAGTAACATAAGAGAAAATCGGGTTTGATGATGACTTTTTAGGTACACAAGAAAGGCACGGTACATGAAAGAAATCATTGATAATGTCTAAGTCTGTTTGTGCTGCTGTAAAAAATGCCACAGACTGGATAGTTAAAAAAAAAAAAAAAAAAACCACAAACTATTTACCTTTATTTAAATTTGACCAGAGAGGGACAGAGTGAGTGGGGGGAGGGGTGTGAGAAAGTGAACCAACAGGTCCAGGACTCGAACCGCGGTCAGCCATGTGAGAGTCCAACGCCCTCAACCACCATGCCACCTGCTGGCCCCTGGATAACTTATTAACAATAGAAAATTTATTTCTCACAATCCTGGAGGCTGGGAAGTCCAAGATCAAGGTGCTGCCATTTTTTCTCTGCTACCAGCTTCCTTGTTGCATTGTCACCTGGCTTAAGGGGTGAACACTGTGTGTCTTCACATGTTGGAAGGTAGATGTAAAAGGGGGAGGGAGGCTAAGCTACTTCCCTCCATTCATTTTATAACGCACTAATCCATTCATGAGGACAGGAGCCTTCATGACTTAATTACCCAATAGCACGACAGTGGGGCTCAAGTTTTAACACATGAATTTGGGAAGACATTTAACATCATAGCAAATAAGCTGGACTTCATTAAAAATTAAAAATTACTGAGGGTTAACCACAGCCTAGAGTGGTTAAGGAAGCCAGATCTGCCATGGTTGACCTTGGTTTGAATCCTGGTCCTGGTGGCTTTAAAAACACACTGGAAATATGTGCATGCATGCCCCAAATCCTGACAAGATGGAGAAATGGAGGAGAAAGGATTATGGTGTGACCATGTGCTGTTGGGGTGGGGTGTGCTCTATCCCTTTCTCTTCTCTCTGTTTCTCTCTCACTGGCAAGTGCACACACCCTCTGGCAATTAATAAATTTTTTTTCTGCTCTACAAAAAGATATTTTCAAGGGGAGCCAGCAGGTACAGTGGTGGTTAAGGTGCTAGAATTCCCACATGGCCAACAGTGGTTCGAGTCCCAGAACTGGCAGCTTGCTTTCTCACTTTCCCTCTTTCTCACTCTGCCCTTCTCTGGTGTAATTATTATCATTTTATTTAACTTTATTTTATTTATGTATTTTAATTTGACCAGAGAGGGTCAGAGTGAGAGTGAGAGAGAGAGAATGAGAGGGAGAGAGAGAGAGAAAGTAAGAAAGCAAGCTGCAAGGTCCAGGACTTGAACCACAGTCTGCCATGTGGGAGTCCTGTGCCCTTAACCACCATACCACCTGCTGGACTCTTGTCTGGTGAAATTTAAATAAATAAATAATTCTTTTTAATTGTTTACAGTCCAGATTTTTTAAAGAGTCACTTCATTTATTTATTTATTTATTTATTTGTTTATTTATTTATTTAGTTAGTTAGTTATTTAAATTTGACCAGAGAGGTTGCCCATGTGGGAGTCCAGAATCCTTAACTACCACACTACCTGCCAGCTCCTAAATAAAATAATTCTTAAAAAAAAAAAAAGTACTGGGCAAAAGATCTGAACAGATCCCTCACCAAAGAAACACACATGGCAAATAAACACATGAAAAGATGCTTAATGTCTTATGTCATTAAAGAACAGCAAATTAAAACAATGAGATTCTACTACAACACTGTTTTAAAAGTCAATTTGAAAACATCGAAAGCTGAAAAGGATGCAGAACAACAGGAACTCACATCTCACTGGTGGGAAAGCAAGATGGTATAGCCATTTTGAAAGGTACTTGAACTGTTCTTATAAAAGTAAATTTTTTTTCCAGAGGTTTTTGCCATAGGGCATGTGCCTTCCCAGGAGAGACAGAACAGGTCAGAGGGAAAGTGAAAAATCAACTGCTGGATTGTGTGTGTTTATTTTCAGGACCAGCAGATGGCGAAGTGGTTACGTCGCTGGACTCCCACAGGGTCAACTGCAGTTTGAGTCCCATACCCAAAGGCTTAAAGATTACGCAGGGTAGATGTGTGTACATTTCCAAGATACTAGGAGGAGAATGGAAGAGAAGGGACTGTGGCATGGCCATACCCTCTGGGAGGTGATTTCTTGTTTTCTGTCTCACTGTCTCTCTAGCGAGCTCCCTATAGCAAAAATCTCTCTTAAAAAAAAAAAAATGAGTTATTAAGTCACGAAGACATGGAGGAACCTCAGATACAGATTCCTAAGTTAAAAAAAAATACATATAGGATACTATTTTCTAACATTATTGATTTAGAATGGACAGATCCTCAAATTCAGGAAGATCATTTTATTTTAAATTTTATTTAACTTTATCTATGTATTTATTTATTTATTGTAGTTTGATCAGAGAGGGACAGAGAGAGAAAGTGAGAAAGCAAACCACCAGGTCTAGAACTCAAACCTGGGGTCGGCCATGTGGGAGTCGAGTGCCCTTAACCACACCACTTGCTGGTCCCTGGGAAGATCATTTTAAATACCATTAGTAATAAATGTATATAACACAGTTACACATAGCTATTAATAAGTTATTTGTGGCATGCATAAACTTAAAACTAAGTTTGAAAGTATGTGCAATTTATAACAGGTCAATGGGAAGAAATAAAAAGTTATGGCAATCTGAGCTTAATTCAAAAAACCAAAAATTAAAATTCATCTCATGGGGCCAGCAGGTGGTGTGGTAGTTAGGGTACTGGTTTCCCACATGACTGACTATGGTTTGAGCTCTGGACCTGGCGGCTTGCTTTCTCACTTTCTCTGTCTCTTTTTGGTAGAGGCGCAGGTGCAGGTGCCCTGTGGCAAACCAAAAAGAAAAAAAGTAAAATTAAATAAATAATTCTTTAAAAAAACAAAAATTCACACACTAAGAGTTAAATGTATTTTTTTATTCAAGTAAACATTTTGATTATAATACATGATCATGGACAACCATGTGACAGGGTCCTGTAGTCTACGGTTTTGTAGCCTCCTTGCCTCTGGGAAGAGTATTTTTCCAGGTGATTCTTCGAGAGTTGACACAAACTTTTCAATGGCAGTTCTAGAGACTGCTGCCCCCATCTCTCTTCAGATGCCGTATGCCATTTTCTCCCACCCTTTATCCTCCATTACTTACAAAAACCTCACTGTAAAATTCAGCCTATGCTATAAAATTAACAAAAGGAGCAGTTAGTGTATATTTTCTCATAAAGTTAAAATTATTAAAACTCTTAATTTCATATTTTTCTCTAACTTTTGAAGAATGCACATGATCTCTAAAGAGTCAAAGTAATACATAATACAAAATATGCAAAGAACTTTATTCCCAGGTTTACATAATATGTTGAAAATTGCTAAGTACTGAAAAGCTCAATCTTCTTGGAATGGAAATTCTCCAGTGGAAACTATAGTTTATGAACACAGGTTGTATTTTAATGAACAGAAATATGGTAACTGATTTGGCATAAAATAACTGTGAGATCTTTTAAATTAGTAAAGTGCTTAATTAGGAAACATCTTTCCACCACATGAAATAATTTGTCAAAAGCACAAAGTGTCTTTGTCTCTTTCTTTAAATATTAGCTCTTAAAATTACGGTATCACTCATTTAAACTTTACTTAATCAGAAAGCTTTATTTTTTTTCCTCTTAGTAATTAAAAAAAAACTACTTGAAGAATAATGTTTAATTTTTATTTTCAAAACTTTGCCATGAACATACATACATACAACACTATATTTGATCCCCTCATTAGCTGTATTTGTGTGTCATGAAGCACTTGTGGAAAAAACAAAAACAAAACAAAATATGTAAGCTTTAGGATAAAAGTTAATAAGAAATCAAAATATATTCCCAAAAAAGGGGATGGGGGTAGAGGGAATCAATAAATTAAAATCATAGGTTTTGTTTTATAAAAAATAGTTTGAATAATCTCCTTATAAATCTTTAATGCTTACAAAAGCAGGAAATACATTTAAAATAGTCTTTTTAACACATTCATTTGTACAATGTGATTATAGTCAGAAAAATAACAACTAAAATGGCATTTCATTAGCAGTCTACATTTTCTTCTCAACAAATTCCACATAACATTTAACCAACTTACAAAACAAAATAAGATGTTAACTGCCAACAAGGTCAAATTAGTTGTAGTTAGTACCTGAATATCAAGCTGTCTTGTATTTAATATACTGTGCCAAAATTTTAAATACAGCTCAAAGATATGTACTAATACCAATACTTGACTGTATGGTTGCCATCCATGACTACTACACTGCAGCTTAAAACATGCTTTGGTCAGTAAATCGAAAAGATATAAATCAAACAACAAGGCCAGAAAAGTTGTTTCAGAATATATTTCCTGACCTTAAGTAAACTTTAAATACATCAACAAGGCAAGGAAAAATATGATCAAATATACAGAGAGGTCTTTATTATTTTAACCATTTGGCATTTTATATTAGTAATTTCCTTATTTAAAATAATATTTTATACTCCTGTGCACCAATTATCATAACTCTCTGAATTAAAACTAAATTTACCTTCCTAGAATGTCCAGTATACATTAATTACTTCTTTTGCACTTCCATGAAGATGGTCCCTCATCCTGTAACTTTTTAAATTTTGGACCAAGAAAGAACCACCAACCAAATCCAATTAGAACACAAATAATGGACTCCACATAATAACCATCCAGGACTGTAACACAAGCACCACCGACTTTTTTGCAAAGCTGTAAAAATAAAATAAAAAAAAATATTACACAATTTCAAAATGGCAGAATTCAATAATTAACATGTTTTTACTTTGTGATTTAAAGAATCCATCAAAATACATTGTTGATAAATATATACAACTGTTATATCAATTAAAAACTATTTAAAAAATTAAAATACATACAATTTTTGTTAAAAACATTTCAATATTTCATTCCCGCCCAATAGCAAAATTTGTTTGTATCTTAGTCTTGCTAAAGCTGACAGGATTAAAAAACAAATTTTAGGGCCCAGCTGCCATGGTGCACACTGCTACGACACTGTGCCCTGTGGGCTGGAATCATGTGGAAGGCCAGCTTCAATGCCCAGTCTAATCTAAGGGCTTGGTGCAGTGACAGGTGACTGTAATAACAGCAACCTGGGAGGCTGAGGCAGGAGGACTTAGATAGGGAAACATTTTTTTTTTGGAGAGGTTTTTAATATAGGATGTGTGCGCTTGCCAGAAAGACAGAAAGCTAGAAATCACCCCCCCCGGGGGGGGGATGGCCATGCCATAATTCCTTCTCCTCCATTCTCCTCTCGGGATCTTGGGCATGCATAGACACATGCCTAGCGTGAGTTTAAGCCACCGGGTGTGGGACTCGAACCACAGTCGACTACATGGGAGTCCAGCAACATAGCCATTATGCCAACTGCTGGTGCCTATTTCTTTTTTTTTAAAGATATATTTCTAAAGGTAAAACAAGGAAATTAATATCTTGACACTAGTTTAATGTTATCTAAAATTAAAACATACTTACTTCAATACCATCAGGTGTTCGACAACTCTGGTTTGATGCTACACTCTTTCACTGTGAGGGGATCCACCAACCAAAGAGCCACAGTAGAAGGCCAGTTTCCTCCCAGATTGGACACGGTATTTAAAAGAGTCATGTATGTTCCTCCAATAAGTGGATCACTAACTTTTGCATTGAAAGCCATTATAGAAACATACATGCTGTACAATGTAACCTACAGGGAAAATGAAAAACACCTTTGATGTAATTAGACTTATAAAGCTATGGTCTAAATGAAAAACATCAAAATAAAAAAACTTGAAAATTTTCATGACCTTTATTTTTAAAGAATTATTTCATTTTATTTATTATTTTTTATTTGCTATAGAGCATGTGCTGCCAGGTCTAGGACTCAAACTGCACAGTCAGCCACGTGAAGAGTCCAGTGCCTTAACCACCATACCACCCACTGGCCCCAGGAATACTATTTTGGAAACATGGCTTATTTCCATCTTCTTTTTTTTTTAAGAATTATTTTATTTAACTTCATTTTTATTATTGTTATTATTATTTTTACTTTGACCAGAGAGGAGAGAGAGAAAGTGTGAAAGCAAGCCGCCAGGTCCAGGACTCGAAACACAGTCATGTGGGAGCCCAATGCCTTTAATCACCATGCCATATGCTGGCCCTTTATTTCCATCTTTTCAAATAGAGGGTTAGTTCTAATCCCAGAGCCAAAGCTTGAAAATCATGCTGGGCACATGTGTGTGTGTGCCCAAAATCCTGAGAGGATTTTGCTTTCTTTTGAGCTGTTGACAGATTCAACAATTTGTGAAAATGTTTTTTTCTTTTTCTTTTGTTTTTGTTTGTTTGTTTCTTTAAATGAAAACATAACCTTTTCTCCCTTCCTGACCCCTCTGAAATTGGAAAATATTTGAGAATACTTTTATTTTGTGGCAGAATGGTTATTTGCACAAGTTCAGTAATACCTGCTGCCTTGAATCAGAAATTGGAAATACTCATTATTGGACAGGGCTTTGACTAGAATGTCATATCTGAAGATTAAACCAGGAAACCATGGAATTAAGGTAGATCTCAAGCCAACAGAAGCTCTTGGAAAGATGGCTTGGCACCATAACACTTCTGCCTGGCAGAGAGAATAAAAGAAGCTATATGAAATAATTCCTGCCATAAAATAACCTGGACTTTTCCAGCCCAGTATTGTAAATGCAAAAGAATAGCCATAACCAGAGAATTATCTTGAGGAAGACTCTGAAGGAGGAAAAGTATTCTGGTATATCACAGAATATTTGGTAGGCAGGGCTGAATTGAGAAGGTTTATGTGTGAATTGTGTGCTGGGTGTTTGCTTTGCAACAGTTTGAGTAGCTGACATGTTAATATTTTCTCAAAAATATTTAAAACCATACTGTCTGTTGTTATAAAGTCACAAATATTACTAACATTATCTTTAAAGTTTAGTTTTTTGAAATTCTGAAAACTGTTTATTAACTGTCAAGATCTATGGAGTATGAGCAAAAAATTTTTGACATGTAAAGTAAATGTGGGAAAATGTAAAAATAAAATAATAAATGATTTTAAAAAATCTTGAGAGGAGATTAGGAGAGAAGGGATTGTGGAGTGGCCATCCCCCTGTGGGGTGATTTCTCATTTTCCCTCTATCTCTCTTTTTCTCTAGTGAGCTCATGTACCATATAGCAAAAGCTAAAAAAAAAACCAAAAAAACAAAAAAACACCAAAAACCAAACAAACAAAAAAAAAAAAAAGAAAGAAAGAAAAAGAATAAACCCAAATCTAGAAGACTGAGGTATACTTAGCAAGAGTACAATGAACTGTCTTTGGAATCAATTTTGAAATACTTGCTGAGTGAGAATTAACAAAAAAAAAAAAAAAAAAAAGAATTAAAAACTCTTTCCATGAACAGAACTCATTAAATCAAAAGGCACGAGGTTTAAAGTTCAGTGTCAAATAATTTCCTCAGTGTCAGAATCATGCATAAAATCTTAAAATTTATTATCATTATTTTAAGACAATTACAGAAAAATTTATTCTTTATTTGGCACAACACAGTAAACTTTCTGAGAAATCAATAGCAAGCTTACCTGATGTAACGCATAACTCAGCAGCACTGCAATATAGTAATAGATAGGGAATCCCCCTTGATGTTCCACTTTAGGAGTCCACCAAACTAGGAGGGCATATTCTAACCCAAGCAATAATCTATAGAAGAAGAAAGGAACATTGAACATATTAAGTTAAACAACAAACAAACAAACAAACAAAACTACAACAAAAAAAAAAATTAAAAAAAAAAAAAAAGAAATCAGTGTGCCTACTATATGAAAGAGGCCTGTCTCTTAAACCTGTTTGGTGGTTAGAAAAAGATGAAAGTACATATAAATGACATTAAAATTAAAGACACTTTTCAAGCCTTTTTCCATATACACTCTATACTCAGATATTAGTGACACTGAAGAATGGTCCTCTTTTTAATCTTTCTTATTTAGTAAGGTTTTATTTCATTTTTACCTGTAGGGCATGGCTTTGTAAAATATGTTTAGTGGCTGGGGACCTGCAGTGTATTTGCTGATAATCAAAGGCAATATTATCTGCAAAGGAACCATTGGAACTGCCAATAAGGCTAAATGTTCTTTGGGTACTCCCTCTTCTACCAATTTCAGTCCTGTTACTGCATCTGCTGCTGAAAAACCAATCTGCAATATAAAAACAAAAAAATATTTTAATTTTTGACTTATGAAATATTTTCCTCCACCCATAACATAACCGAACCACGGTCGACCACGTGGGAGTATCCAGCGCCTTAACAACCAAGCCATCTGCTGGCCCCTATATATATATATATATTTTAATTTGACCAGAGAGACAAGGAGGGAAAATGAGAAAGTAAGCTGCCCAGTCTGGGGCTTGAACTGTAGTTGACCATGTGGGATTCTAGTGCCTTAACCACCATACCACCTGCTGACCCCATAACTTCTTCGAGATCCTCAATTTCATTATTGACTATACCAGTTACAAATCAGTATTATATTATTATATATGGTACAATAATCACGTTACTGGAGGTATACTTGGCCCTATAGTTTAGTAAAAATATTTAGTGAAAATTCAGTACTGGTAAGAACTGTACGTGGCTTTCTTTACAACTAAATTTCCACTTCAAGAGTCCAATCTAGTATAATAAACAGTTTCAAAAATCCAAACTGACTGGTTTATCTTTTTTAAGTTTAAAAGGTTTCAACTGACTCATTCAGTACTGCCACACAAACACATTTTTGATGATTTATGACTGATCACAACAATTTCTTAAGATCATCTAATGCTTCAAAAGTAATTCTGAAAAAAATCACTATATCTGAGAGGATGAATAAAATGAAGGGGAACAAAAAGTATAGTTAGGTGAATTCTTTTTTTTTTATTTGCCAGGAGTGCATGCGCTCACTGGAAACAAAAGAGAGAGAGAAAGGGGAAAAAGCACTCCCCATGGAGAATGGTTACGCTGTAATCCCCTCTTCCACTTCTCGCTCCTTTCAGGATTTAAGGCATGTACACAAATGAATCTGGCATGTTTTTGAAGTTGCCAGGTCCAGAATTTGTACCCTGTGGTCAGTCGTGGGATCCAGGCACCCTAACCACCATGCCACCAGCTGGCCTACAGTTAGATTACTTCTTTAAAATAACAACGAAGAGTAAGAATGCTAAAAGTAGTGGGTAAAGTTTGAAGTAAGGCCCAGCCCTGGTGGCACAAGTGTGGGTGGCGTATCACTAAGCAATAGCTGAAGACACAAGGCCCAGGTTTTGTTCCTGACCCACCTAAACAGGCCAGGAATGGTGGTATAGGCCTGCGATCCTAGCTGACTGAGAGCCTGTGGTAGGAAGAATCAAGAAATGGTAATATTTTGTTAAGAAACCCCTCTCTCTCGTTGTACTCTTAACACGTGCATACACTCTCAGGGGGGAAAAAAACAGCTTTCAAAAAAAAGTTTGAAGCAAATAAGATATTTAGATATTCTCAAAGTATTTCCCAATAGTTAGTTTTTAATTATAAAAGGAAAAACTAACTTACAGTAGATTATAAAAACTGATCAAGAACCAGCAGGTGGCATGGTGATTAAGGCGTAGGATCCCATATGGCCAACTCTGTGGTTTGAGTCCCAGAGCTGCTAACTTTAAAAATGTACTGAGAGCATATGTGTGCATGCCCAAAATCCAGAGAGAATAAAAGGGAAAGGGTTGTAGCATGGCTGGCACCCACCCTGAGGAGGTGATTTCTCACTTTCCCTCTCTCTCTGTTTCTGTCAAGTGCACACACCCTATGACAAAAATCTAAAAAAAAGTAATCAAGGTTAAAAGTACCAGTTAAGGCAAAGGAACATGATATGGCTCCCTATGGTACCTCTGTGCTATTCCTGCCACATATGTAAGACCTGACTAGACTATGAAGAAACAATACAAACCTAAATGGTAGGCCATTCTACAGAGTAACTGGTCTGTAATCTTCAAAAAAATGCCAAAGTTATGAAAGATAAAGAAAAGCTCATACAAACTAAATACAATATATGATCCTGGATTGGATCCCAAACCAGGAAAAAATAATTTCAAAGGTTGGTATTGGGACAGCTGGTGAATCAGGATTATTTACTGTAATTAGGTATTATGTTAATTTAAATTTTCCTGATTTTTCACTCAGTTGTGTTTTAAACAGTCTTGATATTAAGAAATATATGCTTGGGACCAGCACTTAGCATAATGGCTATGTCACTGAATTCCCATGTAACCGAGTGGTTCGAGTCCCGGACCCAGTGGCTTAAACTCACACCAGGCGTATGTGCATGTGTGTGCCCAAGATCCTGAGAGGAGAATGGAGAAGGGATTGCAGTGTGGCCATTCCCCCTCGGGGGTGATTTCTTGCTGTCTATGTCTCTGTCTTTCTGGTGAGCACAGGCGCCCTATAGCAAAAAACCTCTCCAAAAAAAAAAAAGAAAGAAAGAAAGAAAAGAAAAGAAAAAGAAAAAGAAATATATGCTTAACGGGACCAGCAGAGGGCATAATGGTTACATCATTGGCACGAACAAACACATGCCTGGCATGTTTTTGAAACTGCCAAGTCTGGGACTCAAACTGAGGAGTTGGCCATATGATCCAGGGCCTTAACCACCATGCCACCTGCTGGCCTGAGAACTATATTTTTAAGGCACACATTTCCATTCCAAGCACTGTTGTCATTAAATAAAATTTTATTTTTATTAGTAGTTCTTCAAACTGACATAATTCTTTTCAAGATCCCAAGACATTTGGCTTACTTTGAAATTATATTCAATGTCATTGCATTTTAAAAATACATTTAATTAACAGAAAACATTGTTCTTTTTCTACTAAATTCTAATGGTGGTGAAAAAGCATTGAGCGTATTCCATAATATTGGTAACTATAACAAGACGGTAAGTTTTGTGTAATAAATCTCTTACCTTTGCAGTTAGAATCAGAAGGCAAAATGTCAGAACTGCTGGCATTTTCACAATTGCAAAAAGCAGCTTGTAAGTATCTGTAATTCCTTGTGTTTCTTCTTTACCTACTGACACTTCTTTGTTTTCTTTTTTCAGAAGAGCCACTAGTGTTGTTGTTATTAAAAATATAGCTCCCCAGTAAAAAAGGAAATCTGAAATTAAGAATGTTTTAAACTTATAATTAACTTTTGAAATGACATAGCTTGACTGATACTAAGTAATTCTCTATATAATTTCTCCTAAACTAAAATGTCATTAAAAAAAAATCAACATTTAAGTGCTTATCTTTTATGTTCAAGGCACTGTACCAGTCATAACAGGTGAGAAATTCTGACTCAATTAAATATATGCTTCAAAGACTCAAAATAGAGAGTGATACTTAGGAAAAAAAGGCTATAGACATTTTATGTAGAGTTAAATGTAATTTTATTCTAGAAAAGTGGCAGGGGCAGGAGGTTATTTTCACGTTTCATAAAATCCATCAATCATAATTTTCTTTTTTTAGTTCTTTTGCCATAGGGTGCATGTGCTTGCCAGAGAGAGACAGAGAGAGGGAAAGTAAGAAATTACTTCCAGGGCCACACTGCAATCTTTTCTCCGCTCTCCTCTTGGGATTATGGGCATGTATGCACACACACATCCAATGCCTTAACCATCATGCCAACAGCTGGCCCCAATCAATCATGCTTCTTATGTACTCACACCATTTAAGATTTTTATTAAATTATGACCATTTAGACAACAGACTATTATTAGATTTTCTACCTTTCGTCCTTAAACTTTCTAATGTTTTCCATCTGCTTAAGAATAACCTCTTTTGGGACCAGCAGACAGAGTAATGATTATGTTGCTGGACTCCCATACAGTTGACCATGGTTCGAATCTGGGACCCAGTGGCTTAACATTCATGTCAGGTGCATATGCGTGTGTGCCCAAGGCCCCAAGAGGAGAATGGAGGAGAAGGGATTGGAGCATGGCCATCCCCCTTTGGGGGGGGGTGATTTCTTGCTTTCTGTCTCTCTGCCTCTCTGCTTGCCTCTCTGTCTCTGGTGAGCACATGGCTCCCTATAGCAAAAATCTCTTTCTAAAAAAGAAAAAGAATAACTTCTTTTCAGAGTGAGCCCCTTGTCTGGTGGTTGAGGTGGCTGGATCTGACATGGCTAACTGTCCGATTCGGATCTCAGACCCAGAAGCTTGAGAATCATACCAGGTGCATGTGCACGCGTGCCCCAAATCCTAAGAGGGAAAGATGGAGGAGAAGGGATTGTAGCCTGACCATTGTCCATTGGCGTGCTTTCTCCCTGTCTTTCTCCCTCTCTAGCAAGTATAAGTAGCCTCTAGCAAAAAAAAAAAAAAATATGTTGAAACTGATGTTTAAGTTTCATAAATATGATTTTTGAGCATAGAACTAAAAAACAGGCTAAATATTCTGAAGTATCTACAAGGTCTCCTCTAGTGCTTAATAAGTCTAAAAGATCTTGTCAAGAACGTGTAATGATTCACCAGTGACCAATAAGGATGTATCAGCTAGCACTTAAGTGCCTATTTAAATCCTGGGGAAAAACATAGGACATCACATTTAAATCTCAAAATCACTCTTCAAAATAGGCATTATTATTCCTAGTCTACATGCAATGAAACAGGATCACAAGTCAGAAAGTTCCAGAGATAGGATTCAAATTCAAACTCAGGTCTAGCTCTAAATCAAGAATGTTTTCCACCTATTTCCCAGACGCTCAGGTATACCCACAGCAAATAAGCCCTCTTTTCTATCAAGCAGACTCTCCTGAGCAAGCTTTAACCAGAAATTCTCTGTCATAGATACTTAATCATACTTCTTTAAACTAGTAACTTGTATTCTTCCTTCCAGTCTCCAACTTCCCATGTGTTAGTATGCCAAAGGACAGGATGAGCAAACTTACTGCATCTCCCTAAATAATTCATTTTACTTAACAATTTTTAGGAAAATATTTTAATGAGAATATATAGTGGAAAAGACAAAAATGTCTAAGAATTTTAAAGACAAAAAATTAGATGTCACGAAAGCCAACCTTTAAAGGCACTCAGACCCTTTTTGGTGTAGGTTCACTCTTCTACCACCAGAAGAGGTAGAAAAATGAAATACTACCCGTTACAATCATTCTGGGCTCCGGTCAGGTCTCTCTCCCTCTAGGTCTCTCTCCCAGTATCTAAGTTAATTTGTCTTTCAGAAATCAGTTGCGGGAAGACCTTTACAGTTTCTGTTTTAAATAACTGTCGGCCTTCCTTTCACCTTCTTTTTGGCACAAGTTAGAGCATGAAGGGACTTTAGACATCCATCATGCAGTCCAAGGCAGAGGAAACTGAAACGGTTGTATTATGTGTCTGGCCCTGGGTCATCAGTTGACTCAGCAGAAACAGAACTTTCTATGCCACAAATCCTTCCCTTAAGTAAATTTGCACAAAATATCCAAGTTGTTGAAGAGAACACACAGCAAATACTGTTTTGGTTATACAAGGAAATATCTTATTTGGGGATTAGGGTTTTTTGTTTGGCTCGTTTTTTAGTGTTATGGGGTGTACATGCTCTCCAGAGAGAGACAGTGAGACATCACCCCTCTGGGGGGATGGCCAGGCCACAATCCTTCCTTCATTTTTCTAAAATTTTGGACACATGGACATACACACACACACTCCCAGCATGTTTCTCAAGCCACCAGGTCCAGGGCTCAAACCACAAAGTTGTCTATGTGGGATCCAGCTGCCTTAACCACCATGCCACTGGTTGGCTCAGGGATTAGGTTTTTAAAAGACAGTGTAATGAAAAAATAAGGTAAATACAAAATTAATTTTGAAATTTTCCTAGTTCCTTATGTTTCCTAACTTCCTAAGAAGGTGCCATGTTTGAGATCACATCCCGTTTCATTAACTGCAATGTTATGTTTTCCTTTAGAGATAGAAAATATTAATGTTTCTTCAATCAAGCAGCAGATGAAACAGCTGGCTTTCTATTAAGGGCCACATTGTCCCAAAATACTAGGTTTAAATTCAGCCCAGTACACAACCCTGAGGTTAGGAGGCCAACAGATTCAGTGCTCCCACCTTATATTGAACCATCTTATACTGACTGTGGGGCTTATACCTATGAATACAATAATGGAAAAGAATAATTCTTTGTATTTTTTTTAGTATGTTGTGCCTGGGTATAAACTTAATTTTAATTAAATATACATGATATATCTCCATTCTGATGCAATGATAGAAGGTTCTTGCATTCCACTTTTGTACAACTAAAGTCCTGACATCTCTAAATCGCCTTTGTAAGCTGAATGCAGACTTTTATAAAACAGCTGACAATGAATATTCTAAACTATCACATGAAGATCCAGGGTACAAGCCACTAGGTGCATTCAGCAACTTCATCCTCCTTCATATAGTAGTATTTATATAATTATTTCAACATTTTATTACAATGCATATCATGCTATACAAAATAATGGACTACACAACTATCAGAATAAAATGAAAACTAGTGAGAACATCAAACAAATATGCAAATAAACTAGATCACTCACACATTTCTGGTAGGAAGATAAAAATGGCACTTGAGAGCCAGCAGATGGCATGATGGTTAAGGGCACTGGACTCCCACATGGCTGACCGTGGTTCAAGTCCTGGACCTGGCAGCTTGCTTTCTCACTTTCCCTCTCTCTCATTCTGGTCAAATTAAAATAGCTAACTAACTAAATAAATAAAGTTAAATAAAATAATTATTTTTTTGAAAAATGGCACTCTGGAATATAGCTTGACAGGTGTTTTGTTTTCTTTTTTTAAAAGAGGTTTTTGCCATAGGATGGGTGTGCTCTCCAGAGAGACAGAAACAGTGAGAGGGAAAGTGAGAAATCATCCCATCAGAAGGGATGACCATGCCACAATCCCTTCTCTTCCATTCTCCTGGGATCTTGGGCATGCACATAAATGTACCTGGCATGAGTTTCAAGTCACCAGGTCTGTAACTTGAACTGCACTGGCCATGTGAGAGTCCAGCGATGTAACCATTACATCTTCTGCTGGCCCCTTGGCAGCTTCTTTTAAAACTAAAAATGTACAGGAGCCAAAGGATGGTATAAAGGTACCACATGGACATTTGTACCATCTGAGTCCCAGATTCAGTGGCTTGAAAAATACATTAGCTATTTGAGTCCCAGATTCAGTGGCTTGAAAAATACACTAGCTATTTGTGAATACATGCCCAAAATCTAGGAGGAGAAGGGAATGCAGCATAGACATCTCTCCTGTGGGGTGCTTTCTCATTTTCCCTTTCTCTCTTTGGTGAGCACATGTGCCCTATAGCGAACCAAAAAAAAAAGAGTACATCTCTCTCAAGCTGCCAGGTCTAGTACTTCAATCATGTGGTTGGCTATGTGGGATCTGAGTGCCTTAACCACTAGGCCACAGACCTGTTTTTTTTTTTTCCTTTATGACAGAAAGAGAAAGCAAGAGGGAGTAGAATCCAAACCATAACTGACCATGTGATTTTCCGGACTGCAGTATAGTATGCTACAGACTAAGCCACCAGACTAGGCATTATGTTACAATCTTTATGTTCTTCTATGTTATTGTCATCATTTCTTCTAGCTTAAAAGGTCTTTCTTCGCTGCTAGAGATCCTTGAAAAACAAAGGCAGTGAGAATAGGAAAAGCCTTCTTCTGTGTTCTGGACTTTCCTGGATCCTTGGAAGTAAAAGACAATCTCAACAGAATGAAAGTTTTGTTTCTAAGGGATTTTATCTTCATTGTATCCCTCATGTTTTAAATTTACTATTTGGATTAATTTCTAGATGCCTCAAACTGTTCTTTCTCATGTATTCTACCTCTTTATCTATAATACTCAAAACAGTGTTAATTATAGTGTTATTTTGGGATTTTTAAATAATTAGGCCTCCTTTCAACAGTCTGATTTTCTAGTATTTAGCTGATTTTAAATTAACCTAGCAATTAAATTTCCTTCATATAATTCTCTTCTCTTTAAGTTCCTCTAAACCACTGGTTTTTCTCAGTTATGTTAAGTTCCAGAAAGCAGTGGGGTATAAGTGTGCTACATGCAGTCATAAAAGAGAATGAAAACAAGTACTCTTGAAACTAGCAGTTAGTGTAATGGCTATGTTGCTGGACTACCATGTAGTCGACTGCGGTGCAAGTTCAGGACCTGGTGGCTTAAACTCACACTAGGTGCATGTGCGTGTGTGCCCAAGATCCCGAGAGGAGAATGGAGGAGAAGGGATTGAGGCATGGCCATCCCCCTTGTGGGGTGATTTCTCGCTTTCTGTCTCTCTGTCTCTCTCTGTCTTTCTGGTGAGTGCACGCGCCCTACAGCAAAAACCTCTCTAAAGAAAAAGAAAACATAGGTACTCTTTAACTTGCAACTAAAAGGTTTGAACCAAAAACAAGAGTCCACTACAAATTTTAAAAGTTAAATTAAAAAGTAAACTCTTTTTAGAATCCCCTAGAGAACAAAGTTCAAATTCCACAGGACACGCATCTATGCAAAATAATGAATAAGTCTAAATAAAAATCCAGTGGGTTAATTTTAATCCACTGGGGAATAGTTGTGGCTAAGGAAATATGATATTTCTTAAACTCATAATGGCATTCTCTGAAAGATGTTTTATCAATCACCCCTATACTTAAGATAAAGCTCTGGGGATCAGCAGGTGGCGTGGTGGTTAAGGCACTAGACACTACCACATGGCCAACCACAATTCGAGTTCTGGTCCTGGTGGCTTGCTTTCTCACTTTTTCTCTCTCTATGTATCTCTCTCTGGTCAAATTAAAATATATGAATGAATAAATAAAACTGAATAAATAATTCTTAAAAACTCTAATTCACCTAATTAGCAATTTAGTCTCCATAGTCTTTTATACCTTGATTTCTCTGAGATTTTCTCATTCTAAGTGACATATCATCTCATGAATCTTTTTTGGTGATATGAACAGCAGTCCCAGAAGAAATAAAATGCAGACAAATAGGGGACCAGCAGTTAGCGTAATGGCTATGTCACTGGACTCCCATGTAGTTGACCGTGGTTCGTGTCCTGGACCCGGTGGCTTAAAACTCACGCCGGGTGCGTGTGCATGCATGCCCAAGATCTCGAGAGAATGGAGGAGAAGGGATTGCGGCGTGACCATCCCCCCTGGGGGGTGATTTCTCGCTGTCTCTATGTCTCCATCTGTCTGTCTGGCGAGCGCATGCGCCCTATAGCAAAAACCTCTCCAAAAAAAAAAAAAAATGCAGACAAATAAAAAGCAATAAGCTGTTTATACTATGCACTGATAAAGTTTTTCTAGGCAGAGAGTTATCCACAAAGTAGGTATGGAACCACAGAGCATCCTGAGATAAATCTGCCTACATGCAATTATCTCCCCTCAAGCATTTTTAACCCAAACAAGCAAAAAGTACACCATCATTTCATCAGTGAAAGTGACTTACTTTGAAGTAGACAAGGTGAAAAACACAGATTCCAGAAGTTGAAGAGAAGTTGTGATTTCCCCAACTCCCACATAAATTCCCTCAGCACATGCATACCCTAATACTTACCCTACTGAGCATTTCCAAGCTACTGTAGAAGTTGAGCAGAAGTTTAACTGTCTAAGTATCAAAACAGATTCATCATCACTAACAGAATGACAAATTCTGCTATAGTACTAAAGTTATTCCTAATTCTGGTCATTTAACTTCTACTTCCTATTGTTAGAAATGTTTTTAAAATTTTTTTAAAAATACTTTAGAATGGGCCAGCCGGGTAGTATGGTGGTTAAGGCTCTGGATCCCACATGGCCAACTACACAGTTCAAGTCCTGGGCCCAACAGTTTAGAAAATATGCTGAGTACATGTGCATGTGTGCCCAAAATCCTGACAAGAGAATGGAAAAGGAATTGTGCAGCCATCCCGCTGGGAGCCGATTTCTCACTTTCCTTCTCTTTCTGACTGTCTCTCCTGGTTTTACCCTATAGCAAAAACTTAAAAAAAAGCTTTCAGAAAAATATTTTTATAAAATATTAAAAATCATAAATATTTTAATCATTCAGAGAGAAGGGGAAATTCTGTAGCATTTATATCCAAATTCTTTCAGACTAAATCTTAGATCTTGCCCATAGTAATTAAAGAAAATCTTATTAATTTAGTCTCAGTCCTTCTTTCAGCATCACTTCCAAAACCCAGTTCTACAATTACTGCTTCAGGGATTTTGAGTATCACAGGCAACGTCTTGTATTTTTTGTACTTTTCTGCCTCAGTGCATTTTCACCTGGTGTTGTGTATTCTGGAATGCCCATGCACTGCTTCATGGAATCTTATTCAAGAACAAAGTCAAATGTTACCTGCAATGTGAAACCTGACTCCCACAGTTACTGGCAACTCTTGAGTTCCTCTAAAATACTAATTCTCCCATTCTCTGTGGATAGGACTCAGCCTCATTCTAAAGGAGGCTCTCAGGATTCGTCACTTAGCTGACTCAGTAGTGCTTGAATTCATTAACCGCGTTGTATTCACTAGAAGCTGAGCAGTCTCGCTAAAAGAGTAGGGTTAGAAGTAGATCAGAATACATGAAGCTAGAAATTTCAATTCAATAAAAGACAAAAGCAGAAATATGAACCATGTGAGCCGGACTTCTTTTTAAAAATGTGCACCTAGGGGCCAGCAGGTAGTGTGGTAGTTAAGGCACTAGACTCTCACATGGTCAACAAGGGTTCAAGTCCTGAACCGGGTGCTTTGAAAATCACATTGGGCACATGTGCTTGTGTGCCCAGAGAAGAATGGAGAAGGGATTGCAGGATGGCCATTGGTGTGGTGGTGGAGTGCATGGGTGATTTCTCACTTTCCCTCTATCTCTGTCTCTCCCTGGCAAGTACACACACCCTATGGCAAAAACCTTTAAAAAAAAAAAGTACATCTGTGCATTAAGCAAGTGTCATATATCCTTAGCCTCAAGAGTTTTGGTTATCTCTTCAATACAGAGTATTGACCAATTATGATTGCTCTAATGTAGTCATCCTGCTTTAATGACACTTCAAAGAAGTTCCCTTTAAGGAAGCAGAAAACTTACCTCAAGTCATCTCCCATAAAATGATCTCCAGTAAATTTAATAATGAGCTTCCTTCCAATGTCACACTCTTAATAAAAGCAAAATAAACTTTATAGTATATGAACAATTTAAATACCCTACCTGAAAGTGTAACGATTCCCCTGGGTTGAGGCTGAAATCGCAAATATTTGTTACAAAAGTCAGCAGATTCAAGGGCCAAAAACAAAACATTGCCCAAAAAGTAGCCCGCTGTTTGGCCCACCGAATTGCAGGTAGAAGCATATCCCACGTTTTCCCGGGATAACATAGTTAGCGCCCAGCCATCCACAGCGATGTCCTGAGTGGCGGCCAGGAATTCAAACAAAAAGAAAGTCACAGTAAGAGCGATCACGTCAGGTGTTTTGCCATCGGTATTTCCGAGTAAATCGTCCACTCGAGTGGAAAGGTATATCATGAAGAATCCTAGTATATACTGTGTAGGGACAAGCCAAGATTTGCGACGACCAAAGTTCTTAAAGTACACCGCATCAACCAATGGGGCCCAGAGCAACTTGAGACTGAAGGGCCAAAAGACAAAACTGAAAAAAGCCTGGTCTGTATAGCTAACATTTTTGCTTTGCAAAATGAGTGGGATGCTTCCTGCCAAGCCCAAAGGAATGCCCTGAAGTACGTAAAGAAAGAGCAGTAACAAAATGCTGCTTAGTTCAGCCCGGCAGCTCCGCGGGGTTTTCAAGAAATCAGTGCCGGGATCCCTCAGAAGAGCTTCTCTGTCCCCTTCCCCGCCCATCAAGTCCGGGTGACTGTCATCCCAGCCGCCCGGCGGCAGAGGGCCGCTCTTCATATCCATAGAGTGGTTGAATGTCCCTGCCCGCCGCTGCCGACTGTTGTCCTTGTGAGAGATGGTGGGTGACATATCGGAGACGATGCAGAGCCCCGTCTGTGGGGCGCCGGGGCTTAGCGTTTTGGATCAGTCTAGTCCCGGGTCGCTCAGGACCAGGGTCTCGGTGGTTCAGGGAGGGAGGCAGGGCGTCCGGCGATAAGGGCACTTCTTGCGGCCCACGGTGCTTAAATCGGGAGCCAGTCCACCGGCTGGAGCCCCAGGCGATGCCTGGGTAGATGGCCCTTGGAGCGGTGACAAGGACCGTGAAGGAGCTCCCCGGCCAACTGCGCCGGGCTCGGGGCTGGAAGTGGTGGCCGTGGTGCTGCGAAGGGAACGGGCTCCTAGCTGCGGCGGGACCGAAGGGCTTGTCCCCTGACCCACCTCTAGCTCGCCGCCACAAACCAGGCAAAGAGCACTTTCTCCACAGGACACGCGAAGTACCAGATAACTTCCTGCCTCGCGCTTCAGGAAGTGGTGCCAGGCTCAAATAGGTCCCTTCCCCGCCTCCGGAGGAAGCCAATCAGGACATGCTTCGGTGGCCGAGTTCTCAAACAACACTCGGTGGGAACCCGCAATCTAGGCGGCCCGGGCCTCGGGGGAGGTTTAACGCCGGCGCACCGTGAGGCCGGGGAGGGGCTCAGTGGGCGCTCTAGCTCTGTGAGCGCATGCGGCTCTCTGGAAAGCGTGGGCCTCGGTGATTGGCCCCGCACGGCCACGTGACTGCAGGTTGCGCCAGTCCCAGGTCAGCCGTCAGGCGAAACTACCAGGCGGAGTGTGAGGTGCAGGAGTCCTTGTTGGTGTGCTGTGGAAGGGCAGTGCCCAGAGTTTAGGTTGGAAATGTTGCAGTGTTGCCTCTTTTTTGAGTGTGCAGAAAACGATGAGAAGGACAGAAATTTAGGAAGCTTCCGTACGGAGGCAAGGTCACTTCGTGCGCTCAAACGGGTAGAAAAAAAAGCCTGACAGTGGGAGAAGCGCATGCGTCTACGTATCGGTAGACCGAATGAACTGCTCAAGAGAGAAGCGCATGCGTCTACACATTGCTAGACCGAATGAGACGCTCAAGAGAGGCCAGATTTCTCTGTATTCCGTTTTCCCACCGTTGTGGAAGAAGCGTCGGGGAACCTGGTGACCAACTGTAATTCCGTTGGATTAGTTGGCTCATCGTAAACCTCATTACCTTTCTTCTTTTGCGCTACTGTAAAAGGTGTAAGGCACCGCTCTGCTGCCATCACCGGTTTGCACGTTAAGTATGTCTCCATTCTTAGGGTTCTTGGCAAAGTACTGCAAGCTCTTGGAGCTGAAAATGCTTAGCAATTAGATTTAGTGTTTTAGTGATGACCAAGAGACCGGTTTCCAAGAATTTTACTTAGTCCTAGGTTGTGGAATTTGCACACGTCACTGTTAACATGTGATGGTATTAATAATATATTTTATTGAACTTTAGAGAATAAATTTTGCCTTGATTTTTTACTTTATGCATAGGCTACCTTTATATTTACTTCCATAGCTGATTCTTTTTTAAAGAATTATTTAACTTTATTTTTTAGAATTATTTTAACTTCATTTTTTAAGAATTACTTTATTTAACCTTATTTATTTCTTTATTTTAATTTGACCAGAGGGGGACAGAGGAGTGAGAGAGAGGGAAAGTGAGAAAGCAAGCCACCAGGTCCAGGACTGGAATCAGGGTTGGCCATGTGGGAGTCTAGCGTCCTTAACTACCACACCACCTGCTGGTCCCTGTCTGTCTGTCTGTCTTTATATATATATGTTTACATATAATTTGACCAGAAAGGGGCAGAGTGAGAAAGAGAGAGAGAAACTGAGAAAGCAAGCCAATGGGAACAGCAGTTAGTTGTCCATGTGGGAGTCCAGTGCACTTAACCACCGCAACTTGCTGGCCCCCTCCCATAGCTGATTCTTCTAACCATTTCCTTCCTTCCTTCACAGGAATTTGAGAGTCTGATTAATTTCCTTTAAACAACGGAAAATGTCAATCGTAAGTTCTTCAATCTTTGTTAAAGAGAATAGCTTACAGAAAGAACAGTGTCATTTAAGGAAGACCAATTAGGATTCAATGAAAACACCTATGGGTAGGGTTTCGATTGTCCTGGATTCATAATGTGCCCCTAACTGTAGTTATGTCTTGGACAAATTACTTAACCTTGGGTTCAATTTTGAGAATGTAGAGTTCATCACATCTATTTCAGGGTTGTAGAATTAAAGGAAGTAATCTGTAAATTCATGCACAGTCAGTAGGTGTGTATATGTGTGTATGATTTTTGTTTTTATTTTATAGGTTTTTGTCATAGTGGATGTATACTCCTCGGAGAGAGACATAGAGAGGGAAAGTGAGAAATCACCCCCTTGGACAGAGGGTCACACAACAGTCCCTTCTCCTCTTGGGATTATGAGCATGCATACACACATTCCTGGTGTGATTTTTAAGCTGCTGGGATTGGGGCTTGAACCCCAGTTGGACATATTGGGAGTCCAGCCACCTGAACCACCATGCCACCTGTTCGCCTCAGTGTGTGTGTGTATGTTTAAACATATGCAAATATTTTATTTTCTTCTTTATTTTTTCTTTCACTCTTTATTGGGAAATAATTATAGATTCACAAGAAATTGCAAACACTTCAGCAACTTCCCCCAATGATAACATCTTACACATAACTATAGTACAGTATCAAAAGCAGGAAATTGACATCTGTGAAATATTTTAATGTTTCTCAGAGTTCACCAGTTTTACATACACTAATTGTATATATGGTCCCTTTTATAGTGCTGTCCCTCTATAGCACACCTTTATATTTACACCAGTCCCCACTCCTCATCTGTTCTCTGGCAATAACTAATATGTTCCCTGTGCCTATATTTATGTCATTTCAAGAATATTATATGAATGGAATCATACAGTACTAAAGGTTCTCCAAGAATTCTTAGAAAGTATATATTACGGAAAAAAAAATATGGATTACATTTTTTCTTTTTGTACCAGTATGAACTCATACTTCTATTTTTACATGAACTTTTTCAAGTCTTCTTATATGTAACATTTGAGATCAGCTTTTTTCACTCAGTATAACGTTCTAGAGATCTATCTAAGTTGATAATATAGTATCAATAGATGTCAATTGTTCCTTTTTTTAAATTTTTTTTTTTGAGAAGTTTTTGCTATAGAGCATGTGTGCTCGCCGGACAGACAGAGAGACAGAAAGCGAGAAATCACTCCCCAGGGGAGATGGCCACACCGCAATCCCTTCTCCTCCATTCTCCTCTCGGGATCTTGGGCACGCATACACACGCGCCTGGCGTGAGTTTTAAGACACTGGTTCTGGGACTCAAACCACAGTTGACTACATGGGAGTCCTGCGACATAGCCATTACGCTAACTGCTGGTCCCAATTGTTCCTTTTTTTTAAGAAAAGAATTATTTTTATTTAAATGTATTTATTTATTTATTTTAATTTGACCAGAGAGGGACAGAGCAAGAGAGAGGGAATGTAAGAGAGCAAGCCACCAGGTCCAGGACTCAAACCATGGGTCAGCCATGTGGGAATCCAGGGCCCTTAACCACATGCCAACTGCCGGCTCCTAATTATAAATTTCTTGCTTTTGGTATTTAATTATTATCCATTGGAAAATAATATTGTATATACAAATATATATGTAAATTGTTTAGAGCCAGCTGATAGAATGATAGTTAAGGCAGTTGGATCCCACATGGCTATCACCCCTAACAATGCGTTCATGGCAACGTAGGTCTTTTCTAGCAGGCAACTCAAAACTATTCCAGCTTCTGCACATTACATCTCAAAATTGCTGAGGAAAGATGGTGGGTTTCCTGAATATGAACATTGAAGATTGTATATAAAAGTTAAATGCTGGGCCATCCAGGTGGCATGGCAGTTGGTTAAGGTGGTTGGATCTTACATGACTGGCTATGCAGTTTGAGTCCTAACCCAGTAGCTCAAAAAACATGCTGGGCATGTGTGCATGCATGCCCAAAATCGAGAGACAATGAAGGAGAAGGGATTGCAGGTGACCATTCCCACTGGGTGGTAATTTCTTTCCCCACCCCCTGCAAGTACAAGTACCCTGTAACAAAACAAAAAAAGAAAAAAGTTAAAAACCTTTTTAATGCAATCTCAAATTTAGACTGGAAGCTATAGAAACATTACACTTCTGAAACTAATTTTATGCAACATTTCAGGAAATCTTCGGTAACTCTTTGAAAAGTGATAGTTCTTAAGTTCTATTTGTAGGCTTCAGAATTTGATGAATTTAATGAATGTTTTTAATGATAGGAAATATGTGTGCAATGGAAGAGGAAGAGAAAGCACTATCAACGTGGACTTTCTTGTCATGCTGTAATCCCCTTTCCCTGGCCCTGTAACTCCTGAAGATCTTGGGTAGCTGTGTGTGTTCTCAGGCCAACCTTGGAATCTGAACCCATGGTCAGCCATGTGGCTTCCATCATTGCATTCCCACATTGAGCCTGACACTTTTTTTTTTTTAATAAAAGTTTTAATTTTTTTCTTTTTACATGAGAGAAAGAGGAAGACAAACACAATAAGCTTCCACACCATGATCCTCCCACCCCTCAGCCTTCCTATACAGTCAGAATCATGAGAACACATGCCTGGCATGTATAGGTTGACTGGGAAAATGAACCAGTGATCTTCCAAATGGGTCCAGCATCACTTGAGCAGTGCATTACTACTGTGCCCTGAAATATTTATTTATTTATTTAAAAGATTTTGCTATAGGGTGCATGCACTCACCAGAAAGAGAGGCAGAGAGACAGAAAGTGAGAAATCACCCCCCCCACCCCCCCAGGGAGGATGACCATGCTGCAGTCCTTTCTCCTCCATTCTCTTCTCGGGATTTTAGGAACACATGCACACACACCCGGCAAGAGTTTAAGCCACCGGGTCTGGGACTCGAATTGCGGTCAACTACGTGGGAGTCCAGTGACATAGCCACTATGCCAACTGCTGGTCCCCTGAAATTTTTATTTTTAAAGTGCTGTGGTTTATGTGGTCTCCCTACCCCAAAGTGTGTGTTGGAAACTTAATCACCATTGTAATAGCATTAAGAGATATGACTTTGGGACCAGCAGGTGGCATTGTGGTTAATGCACTGGACTTCCACATGTCTGACCACAGTTGGAGTCCTGGACCCAGCAGCAAAAAATCATGCCAGGCTCGTGTATTTGCATGCCCCAAATCCCAAGAGCAGAAAGGAGGAATAGGGATTACAGCATGGCCTTCTCCCCATGGAAGTGATTTCTCACTTCCCCTCTTTCTGTATCTCTCTTTTTTCCCTCTCAGTGAGCACACATGCCCTCTGACAGAAACCAGAAGGGGAAAAAAAGAAGGTGTGACCCTTCTAAGGTAATGTAATTATGCAGATTCCCTCATTATCAATGAATGCCATTATTTCAGGAGTGAGTTCGTTATTATAGAAGAGGATTTGTTATCACAGGCATGGGTTCCTTATAAAAGGGTGAGTTTGACCCACTCTTGCTTTCTTTCTGCTTTCTGCCTTTCACCACAAGGTGATAACAGCACTAAGACCCTCACCAGATACCAGCCACACAATCTTTGACTTCCCGGTCTCCAGAATCATGAGCCAATACATTTTTGTTCATGATAAATTACCCAGTCTTTGGTATTGTGTTACAGCAGCTCAAAATGAACTAAAACAATATGCATAGTAAGTTACAAGTAAATTGTCAAATGATGAATTATGTATTAGAAAGTAATTCTAAGCTCATGGTATGTATGCAGAAATTATTTCTATTTCAAGATTTATTTTATAGCACATATTACAAATGTTCATTCATACTGTCTCCATCATCTGTTTAAGTTTACATATGGCAAAATAGTCTTTTCCGTACCCTTAATCTGACCTCTAAGATTATGCCTTCATCATGATTTAATTCTATTCTATTTTTATATGGTTAGAGAATTTCTTCCATTATATTTGAAAATCATATTGGTAAATGAAATCTTGTAAAAATTGTAATTAACTTCCAGTTTCTACTATTAATAAAAAGTTTCATTTGACTTACTTTATTTTATAATTAGCTTGTTCTTTCTGATTGATGTCTTTAAGGTTTTTTCCTTAATTTCTAGGTGTGTCTTTTTTTTTTTTTTTTTTATAAACTCTATCCATCCTGGGTTTATTGTTTTTTATTGCTGCATAATTCTATTTTTATATGGTTAGAGAATTTCTTCCATTATATTTGAAAATCATATTGGTAAATGAAATCTTGTAAAAATTGTAATTAACTTCCAGTTTCTACTATTAATAAAAAGTTTCATTTGACTTACTTTATTTTATAATTAGCTTGTTCTTTCTGATTGATGTCTTTAAGGTTTTTTCCTTAATTTCTAGGTGTGTCTTTTTTTTTTTTTTTTTTAAACTCTATCCATCCTGGGTATATTGCTTTCTATTGCTGCATTACATATTGCTCCAAAACTTAGAACCTTCAAACAACAAACACATTATCTCACAGTTTCTGCTGGTTAAGAACTCAGAAGTCGCTTAGTTGGATGGTCAGCTAAGATGTCAGCCAGGACTATGCTCACTTGAACACTTCACTGGGGCTGGGGGATGCACTTGCAAGATGGCTCAGTCACATGTTTTTGTTCCTTATCACGTGAGCCTCTCTTTAGAGTTACTTGGGTGTTTTTCTGACATGACTGCTGGCTTATCCCAGAGTCAGTGATTCAAGAGAAAGAACAGGAGAAAGTTACAGTGGCTTTCGACACAGTCTCAAAAGTTACATGCTGTCACTTCCACCATATTCTATTCATCACAAGCACGTCACTCGGTCCAGCCTACATTCAAGGGGAGAATCAAAGAATTGGCAGACATATTTTAAAGCCTGGGAATCAGTGAACCATTTCATTCTGTTTAAATACAAATTTCCATTTCAGGAAATTTTTTCTTGGGTCGTTTAAAAAAATTATATGGAATGATCTGCAAGTCATAAGAGTTTTATAGAGAAATTTTCATGAAGAAAATGGTAAATTCTGACTTAAGTAGAGTTTAAAATGGAAGGATAACAGCATATTACAAATTTCTTGAATTATCACATTCGTTGCTTTGTTATCTAGCCCCTGAATCCTATCGGTTATTACTATAGTTATTATTCACTGTAGTTATGCATATATAGTCATATATCAATTTATAACTGTGGTTATATTATTATATCTGTAATTCATATTAGCCCTGACACATCTGCTATTCTTTGTACTGCTGACCTCTAATAATGATAACTAGTTACTCTTACTGATATTTCCTAGCACCTCAAAAGAAATCCTAGGGACAGCAAGAATAAAAAGAAATATTTTCAGGACCAGCAGTTAGCATAATGACTATGTCGCTGGACTCCCACATAGTCAACCGCAGTTCAAGTCCCAGACTTGGCAGCTTAAACTCACAACGGGTGCATGTGCGTGTGTGCCCAAGATCCGGAGAGGAGAATGGAGGAGAAGGGATTGCGGCACGGCCATCCCCCCTGGGGGGTGATTTCTCGCTTTCTGTCTCTCCGTCTCTCTCTGTTTATCTGGTGAGCGCACATGCCCTACAGCAAAAACCTCTCAAAAATATATATATATATTTTCATGGCTAGCAGGTGGCTGATGGTTAAGGTTCTGAACTTCCACTTGGCTGACTGCAATTTGAGCCGCAGACCTGGTGGCTTGTAAATCACGTCAGGCTCATATGTGTGTGTCCCAAAATCCTAAGATGGGAATGGAGGAGAAGGGACTGTGGCATGGCCATCCCCCCTGGGGTGTGATTTCTGCTTTCCCTCTCTCTGTCTTTCAATGGTGGATATACATGTCCTATGGCAAAAACCTAAAACAATAAATTTTTTAAATGAACTTTTTTTTAGATATTCAGAAATTGGAACAAAATTTATCTAGGTATTCTAACCAACTAAGTCCATACAGTAAGTGGTATCAATGGGTTACTATGAACAAAAAATTTGTGTCTCCTCAATAGTATTCCTCATGACTATTTTTAGGCATTCATATGCCTTAACATACTTATCATATCAACTATGACTAGTAGTTTGGACATGTCATTCTGTCTTTCTAAGTATTCAAACCAAACCTTTCAGTAATTCATTGTTTTTAAAAGCCCAGTAAGCTTCTAGGAGGAGTCTAGGACACAGATTCTATTCTCGCTATAACATTCTTTTATTTTATTATTTTTTTTTTAAGAGAGATTTTTTTTTGCTATAGGGCACTGGAAAGACAGAGACAGAGAGACAGAAAGTGAGGAATCACCACCCTGGGGAATGCCCACATCACAATGCCTTCTCCAGTCTCCTCTCAGGATTTTAGGCCCACACACACATGCGCTCATCATGAGTTTTAAGTTAATGAGTCTGGGACTCAAACTATGGTCGACTATATGGGAGTTCAGCGACATAAACATTAAGCAATCTGCTGATCACCTGCTATAACATTCTAAATTGAAACATAGGATCACACTATGACACAAATAAAGGTTAAGCAATACCAAAGACAAATATAAATATATTGTCAAAAGAGTCCAAAACAATAAAGTTGCCTTTGATTATTAGTAGGCCAGCAAAACAATTCATACAATAATTAAGGTGTCTGGTTTTTCTGATTAAAAAATAATATTAAAAAAATTTTTTTAAAGAATTCGTTTATTTAACTTTATTTCTTTTAATTTGATCAGAGATGTATAGAGTGAGAGAGAGAGAGAGAAAAGGTGAGAAAGCAAGCTGCCAGGTCCAGGACTTGAACCCCATTTGGCCATGTGGGAGTCCAGCAAGCACCCTTAACCACCATGCCACCTGCCAGCCACCAAAATTTCTGTTAAAGGAAATCGGTTAACTAAGTAGACCAAACTGATCCTCAAGATTTATTCTCCTGGTTAGGCCTAGACTGACTAGGATACCAAATACAAAATAGCTCTTAAATATTTTGTAATATTTATGATTGTTATCATTCTTTATGACTTTTTTCACTACATGGCTATCCAGAGCTGATATTCAACTAATATAACTGCACCAAAAAGAGACCAATCTTCCAGGTCAGGTTATCCCCTTATTTCTTCCGAGAGAGAGAGAGAGAGAGAGACATCCCAGTAGGATCCCCATGACCTAGCCCTAGCTTCAGCCCACCCTAAATTGTGGGTGCACGTATGTCTAGCTTTTTGGGGGATGTTGTCAGATGTAAACCCAGAACTCTTCTGTGGGTCAATCTCACAGAATGCGACATCACTACTGTGCTACTGTCCAGCCCCCAGGAGCTGGATTGTGACCAAAACACTTTGGGAGTGAGGGATTGGTCGAGAAACTCTGATGTGGAGTGTGGTACAAGCTTGGTTTAAGTAAGGTGTAGATGACAGTGTAAGGTAATGCCAGGCAGTCATAAATAATGTATATTCCAAATCCAAACCTTCAAGGCTTTATAGAGAATCTATAAGTAACTGAAATTGCTTTCTCTCAACCCGATGTGACATTTGAAAACATGACCTCTATTTCTCTCTGAGAGGTGCCTTTTCCCTTGAATCTAAGCTCTTTGACTAAACAATAAAATACAGCTGAGGTGATGCTGGTTTAATTTCCAGGACCAGGTCTTAACCTGGCAGTTTCTATTTCCTGTCTCTTGGATAGTCTTGGAGCTGGGTCCTATGCACTGAGGAAAGGACTATCAGGAAAGGATAGCCTGCAGCTCTCAGCAGCAGCACCAAATTGCCAGCCTTGTGTACAAGCTGTCTTGGAAGTGAATCTTCCAGTTCAAGTTGAGCCACCCTCTCTGGCAACACATGGAGCAGAGACCAGTCTTCATCACTAAACTACGCCAAGATTGGTGTTGCTTCATCACAAAACTTCATGGTAAGGCTGCTGCTTTTTAAAAAATTTTTAGAGTTTTTTTTTTTTTTTGCTATAGGGAGCATGTACTCACTGGAGAGACAGAGACAGAAAGTGAGAAATAACCCCTTGGGGGAATGGCCACACTGCAATTCCTTCTTTTCCATTTTCCTCTTGGGATTTTGGGCATGAATGCACATGCGCCTGGCTTGAGTTTTAAGCTGCCAGGTCTAGGACTTGAACTGCTGTCAACTACATGGGAGTCCAGCAATGTAACAATTACGCCATCTGCTGGTCCCATGGTGGTCTTCCAAGACACTTTTTTACAAACCTGGGAACCCATCCCCACCAGTCCCTGGGTGTCCTTCAGAGAGTGTGAAACAACTGTCACTACCACTATGACAGTACTGTCATAAACAACCATTCTTTGTTCATTCTCCATGCCTCCTATATTTTCTTGTTACTATTATTTTCCCTTTTCTTTGGGAAATTTGTCTACCCTGATTTATATTGTTTTAGTTTGTTTTGCACTCCTATTAAAAAATACCACAGGGCCAGCCAGAGGACCAGTGATTAAGGCAGCTGGATCTCACATGGCCTACTGCACAGTTCCAGTTCCAGACACAGAAGGTTGAAAAACACACCAGGTGTGTGTGTGTGTGTGTGTGTGCCCAAAATCCCGAGAGGAGAATGGAGAAGGGGTTGCTAGCGTGACCATTTCTTCCTCCCGCCCTCCCCCCCAAAAGGGGGTGCTTTCTCACTTTCTCTTTTTCTCTCCAGCAAATGCACACACCCTACAGCAAATTTTTAAAAATACCACAGACTGGATAATTTATGTAGAATAAAATTACTTCTCACAGTTTTACAGGCTGTGAAGTTCAGGATCACAGTGTGGGCAGTGTTAATGTCTGGTAAGGGCACAGTCTCTACTCCCAAGATAGTGTCTTGAGTATTGCTTCCTTTGGAGGGGAGGAACACTGTTCCTCACATGACAGAAGAGCAGAATGGAGTGAAATTACTCTTGCAAGCCTTACCTACTTACTTATTTTGCCGGAATCTCTTCTCCGTTTCTCCC